AGCATGCTGGTGTGCCGTGGAATTTTGGAAAAGGCACAGGTGGGGTTGGGGGAATTCTAATTAAAATAATTAGTGTCAAAACCAGACTACAATTTGTGTTGTTGCTCTTTGGGTGTACTTGCGCGAGGCAGACGCTACATCACACTATGCTCAAATGACCTTGTTGTTTGCGGGGTATCATGTGGGAGCCATATTTTCTTATCAACCGTTAAGTTACTGTGGTGAATTTTGAATTGAAGACTCAAAGCAGGACCAACACCAACTAAATCATCCCACCCAGGGCTTTGTCAAGCTGGGCCTTAAAAACCTCTAAGGATGGAGATTCCACCACCTCCCTAGGTAACCCATTCCAGTGCTTCACCACCCTCCTAGTGAAAAAGTTTTTCCTAATATCCAACCTAAACCTCCCTCACTGCAACTTGAGACCATTACTCCTTGTTCTGTCATCTGGTACCTCTGAGAAGAGTCTAGATGCATCCTCTTTGGAACCCCCCTTCAGGTAGTTGAAGGCTGCTATCAAATCCCCCCTCACTCTTCTCTTCTGCAGACTAAATAACTCCAGTTCCCTCAACCTCTCCTCGTAAGTCATGTGCCCCAGCCCCCTGATCATTTTCGTTACTCTCCACTGGACTCTTTCCAATTTGTCAACATCCCTTCTGTAGTGGGAGGGACCAAAACTGGACGCAATACTCCAGATGTGGCCTCACCAGGGCCGAATAGAGGGGAATAATCACTTCCCTCGATCTGCTGGCAATGCTCCCACTAATGCAGCCCAATATGCTATTGGCCTTCTTGGCAACAAGGGCACACTGCTGACTCATATCCAGCTTCTTGTCCACTGTAATCCCCAGGTCCTTTTCTGCAGAACTGCTGCTTAGCCAGTCGGTCCCCAGCCTGTAGTGGTGCATGGGATTCTTCCTTCCTAAGTGCAGGACTCTGCACTTGTCCTTGTTGAACCTCATCAGATTTCTTTTGGCCCAATTCTCCAATTTGTCTAGGTCACTCTGGACCCTATCCTTACCCTCCAGCGTATCTACCTCTCCCCCCAGCTTAGTGTCATCTGCGAACTTGCTGAGGGTGCAATTAATCCCATCATCCAGATCATTAATAAAGATGTTGAACAAAACTGGCCCCAGGACCAACCCCTGGGACACTCCGCTTGATACCCGCTGCCAACTAGACATCGAGCCATTGATCACTACTTATTAAGCCCAACAATCTAGCCAGCTTTCTATCCACCTTATAGTCCATTCATCCAATCCATACTTCTTTAACTTGCTGGCAAGAATACTGTTGGCGACCGTATCAAAAGCTTTTCTACAGTCAAGATATATATCATCCACCGCTTTCCCCATATCCACAGAGCCAGTTATGTCATCATAGAAGGCAATCAGGTTGGTCAGGTATGACTTGCCCTTAGTGAATCTGTTGACTGTTCCTGATCACCTTCCTCTCCTCCAAGTGCTTCAAAATAGATTCCTTGAGGACCTGCTCCATGATTTTGCCAGGGACTGAAGTGAGGCTGACACGTTTGTAGTTCCCCGGGTTCTCTTTCTTCCCTTTTTTAAATATGGGCACTATATTTGCCTTTTTCCAGTCATCCGGGACCTCCCCTGATCGCCACAACTTTTCAAAGATAATGGCCAATGGCTCTGCAATCATATCAGCCAACTCCCTCAGCACCCTTGGATGCCTTAGATCTGGACCCATGGACTTGTGCATGATACAGTGCTGGAAACAAGCTGCTTGGTTGCTGAACTTGTAGTGAAGCCAGACAAACTTTGACTTTATGCAGAGACATAAATTTTATCAGTATGCAAAGAAATGGTGAGAGTAATGTTAAGTGCAAATTCAGTCAATGAGATCGCAAAAGTTCCCCTTTCAGATAATGCGATATGTCGCCACATTGTTGATATGTCAGCTGATATTGAGACTGTGCTCTAACAAAAAAACAAATCAAGGGAAAAATTTGCATTGCAGAGTGATGGATCAACAGATATCAGTGGTCATGCTCAACTCTTGGCTAACATCAAGTGCATTGATGTTGATAGTATAAGAGAATTTTTTATTCTGTAAACAACTGCCAGGTCACATGACGGGAGAGGAAACTTCAGGATGACAGTGGCCTACCTTGAGGAGGGAGAACTACTCTAGAAAAATTGTCTTAGTGTTTGCACAGATGGGGCTGCCTCCATGACTGGCAAAGTGAAGGGGTTTTCAAGCAAGGTCAATGAACAAAACTAGATGTGCCGGTGGCCCACTGTTTCCTGTATCATGAAGCTGTTGTGGGCCAAAACACTGCCAGAAGAACTTTCTTTAATGCTAGATGGAGCAGTAAAGATAATGAACTTAATAAAATCACGGTCTTTTTAAAGTGTTGCCTTTTGAGCAGAAAATCAGAGTTTACTTTTGTACACAGAAATCCACTGGTTTTCCCATGGAAAAGTTCTCGCTCATTTGTATGAACTGAGAGATGAATTAAAACTGTTCTTAACTTTGGAGGAATCCACATATACAGATTTGGTCTCTGATGTGGCATGGTGTGCAAAACTTGCTTATTTGGTTGATGTATTCCACCACCACGTGAGCAGGAAAATGCAAGGTAGAAATGAGAATCTTCTCTCCTGCATGAATAAACTGCATGGGTTTAGATCTAAGATAGCCCTCTGGTGGAAAATGTAGCTAAAGTCACAGTAGAAATGTTCCCCCCACAAACATGGCAGATCCTACTTGGGAGTATTTTGGTCAATGTAATTTCTGAACATCTGAAAGGTCTGGAAGAAAAATTCAGGTCATATTTTTCTTCAGCCTATACAAAAGATTTGGACTGGATCTTGGAGTTCCTTTGCAATGGAAAGTGCTAAGAATCTTACAAAAATGGCTCAAGAGCAACTTGCCAAATTAAGGATGGACTGCACTTTAACATAAAGTTTGGTGACATGTCTTTGGACTCATTCTGGTTGATGGTGGCAGATCAATAGCACGGTGTGAGATTACTGGGTATCTCCATTCTGTTGCTGTTTTCAACAATGTACCTGCTTAAGTTTTTTAAGCCTGCCTTGCATCAAAAACAAAGAGAGCGTCTGAGATTGGTGGAGCAAGAGCTCCAAGTTGCATTGTTCACATTTCCTGCCAGGATTCAATGACTCTGTGCATCAAGGCAAGCTCAAATTTCTCATTAAAAGTAAGTTTTCTTTTAATAATTTTAGCACGCCCCACACACATTTTATTGAGGTGTACCTTAGACTGGAAAAGGTTGGGAAACACTGCTATAGTGTGATCTGGTGGTCTGTAGCAGACACCAACTACTACCCCATCTTCTGCTTTATCTGTTAGGATATTGATCCTTAAGTGTTTATGATCATTTTCTTCTAAGTTGCCAATGACTTGGAAACAGGTAATGCCTTTTTGTACAAAGTGCCAATCCACGTTTGCCCACTCCATGTTTCAATCTTGTGTGGAAACATGCTTTTCTAGATTAATTCAGAAAACTCTTTAAAGATAATTTCAAATCAGTAAAAACTAGGAAGCCAATTTATGGTTGACTATTCATTAGAGTGAAGTTTTAATCCTTGAGGATACGACTATAACTGAAATCTACTGGCAGGTAAAATTTTGTTCTTTTTAATTTGAAAAAACAAAAACTTTTTACTTTGTTTTGCATTTTCTCATTAGATGGCCCCACTTCCTGTTTGAGGATTTATAATATAGAAGCTGGATCCTCTTTCTTCAGGAAAAGGGGATGGGCAGACTAGAAAAATGTGTCCAACTGAAGCCAAAATGTCTGTCTCTCCTGCCTCAGCTAGGAGGGGATCCAGACTCCATAGAAGCTGGCAGGGACTCATTTTGTTAGGAACTTAGGTTTGGCTTTGGCAGTGACTGGTAGGTGGGAAGGAGAACCAGAGAAATCCAGAGCTAGATTCTCCTATAAAATGCAGCAACAGATGAGAGATTCCTTTCAATATCAGTTGACTGTGCAGTTTAACTCCATCCCCCACTCTCCAGCCAAACAGGATCTGGCTGCTACCGGTATGCATACTTGCCTACTGTGGGAAATGGAAAAGCTTGGAATTTTCATTTTGGCTGTTTCCTGAAACCTTGTCTTATATGTTCCTTTCTGACATATGACCAGAAAAATTGACATAATTGTTTAAACCTGGAAAATTCTCTATTCTCTTACTTTACTCCCGAAGCAGTGAGGCTCAAGAACTATCAACTTTTCTCCCTGATTAAAAAGGATCTAATGTTCTCTTCTGTTCATTGCTGCAGCACTGGATGTCCTGAGATTTTGAAGGGAGGCCTGAGAAATGGCACAAAAGCCTGTGGTTAGGCAGGTATGCTGCTTTATGTCTGCATCTAGGAAGGTTAGCCACATAGTGTGTGAGAGTGGAAAACATGGAGTAAAATATTTATATTTTATTTGCTGGAAGAGTCCTCAGTTGTTGTCCCATTGAGAGAGAGAGAGAGATGCATCTAGTCATTTTTTTTAGTTCACCGTGACCTAGACTGTCAATCTTAACTTCAGTTTTCTAGGTTTTGTTGGTATAACAGCCTCTAACAATTTTAAAACATTTTTGCATCTAAGCTAACACAGTACCAAATGGTTACATTAGACCTCTATTGCTGTATCTACAAAAACAAACAAACAAAAACATGAAATACAAAAACAGAAGAAACAGGAAGTTGGGGGTGTATCTCACTCTCCTCATCCTGAAAGAATGGGCAGTCATAAACTGTAACCTGATATTCTAGACCTCCTAGTGCTATACTGAAAATACATTGTCTATTACATCTGAAGTGAGAGTAGTCAAAACTTCTCCTACAGCATTGACAGTATTCAGTTTATCTATATTTACAATAACCTGAACTGTCTCTCTTAAAACTACTTTTCACATGTTTTAATTTTTTTAACATAAAAATGAATATCTAGGTCTTGGTTTTACTAGGATCCTGTAGACATGTATTATTCACTTTTCCTTTTTTCCCCTCCCTCCATTCAGATGCAGAGTTTGCAAGGTGGTACAGAAGCCATAGCCCATTTGGACCAGTTGGAAGCTGATTATTATGATCTACAGCTTCAGTTGTATGAAGTACAGTTTGAGATTTTGAAGTATGAAGAGCTGCTGCTGACCGCACAACTTGAAAGCATCAAAAGACTAGTGTCAGGTGCAGTACACATTTTATGTGCATAATCTTGGTTACCTAAGACAGTACTAGTACTAGACCTGTAAAACTTAGAATCAGCAATTTTAGCATTCTTAAAATAAGTAAAGATTTAGGACTTTGAACATAAGTACAATGAAAATCAGTTAGAATCTGCATCCGGGAGAAGAAGGTAAATTTTTAAATCTTTATGTATTGCTTTGTCTCCTTAACTTCAGTTGGAATCACATACCTAATGTCTTACGCAATATTTGGAAAAATTAGGGCTAGAAAGGAAGGAATTATTTTCTAAATGTTCTTGTGTACTGCAGGTTTGGCTAACTTACAGGAGTTGTTGCTCTCAAAATTTCTGAAATAAGTGTTTAAGTGTAAGCAAGTGGCTGTCAAGGAGGCGTCATGCAAATCAGAATCTTCTAGCTGAGCTTTTGATACGTTTTGAAGCATTTATGTTGCCCATGTAACAGAGTTTAGATCAGGGACACGCAAGCTGTGGCCCCTAGACCTGATGTAGCTCACAAATCATTTAAAACCAACTCAGAGAGATGGTGCAGGGAAATTTAGTGTGTTTGGGTCCAGCCTGGTTTCCTGGGTTTTCTTATGCTTATACTTCTACTCAGAAGCCAGCTTTCTATGCTGGCTCAGTGCTAAAGGACTTGTGGAGGAAGTGTTCATCAGAAATGTCACTCTAGAGCAGAAATTTTCAAATGTGCTCATATTGTGAGTTACATCTTGAGAGACAGCACCTCATGGCACCGTTTCCCCCATTTACAGGAGTGTGGACTGCCTCTTCTCACATGTGTGAGCCTATAACATCCTTATGGCAATTACTGTAATTGAGCCCATAGAGAAAGAGAGCTTAATACATTTTTAGCTGTCTTTTAATGAAATTTAGCAGTCAGCCTAGCCAGCTCTCTGTAGGCTGTGAGTAAGTGCTCAATAGATAACTCTTTGTTCACAGACTGATTTAGGATAGGATTCTAGTTTTGATCCTGATGTCACTGCACAGTTTACTTTCATGCAGCCAGAAGAGAACCTATCTAGTAAGAGAGACAAAGGAGGAAGAAGTACTTAAATCAGTTTTCTTTGAATTAATATTAGCAAAACTATGTTATATTGACTTTTATGTCTGGAAGGTTCACTGAGTAATTTGAAGGACCTTTGAGTTGGGGTACGGTGTCACCAGTACTTAAATTCAGTTTGGGTATTGAGATTATTCCACTATTACCAACTTTTCTACCAAAAGAATAATGGACCTGCTGTAAAAGTAGTATACATCACTTTTTGGTCATGGTACACTTAAGCAAACTTTCAGATGATTACTGAATCAAAAAAATTCTTCATAGCTCACTGCTTAAGTTTTAAAAATATTCGTATTTCACAATATTACACTTTTATATTAAGCCTTTATCCAAAAAAGCTTAAAGGGTTTGACAGACTTTAGTGAACTCAACAGTCTGTGTTAGGAGTTAGCGTTTTTAAATAATGTACAGCAATACTACACACAAGTTAGGACAGAATACTGAAAGAATACTGGTTCAGTTGAAATTATGGGGGAGTTTTAGTTAGGCAGAATGAAACTACCTATTTGGAATTTATCCAGCAGAACTAGAGCAGTTACTCTTGTGAAAAATACCTTAGGATTTTTAAATAATCACATGTGGTCACGACCATCCTGCATCTCTTCTGAAACATGGCATCTCTCAAAGTACAGTGGCCTCTAACACACACGATTTACTACTGACTCAGAGAGAAAAGTGCTACACCTCTACCCCGATATAACGTGTTCGGATATAATGTGGTAAAGCAGCACTCCGTGGGGGCGGGGCTGTGCACTCCGGCGGATCAAAGCAAGTTCGATATAACGCGGTTTCACCTATAACATGGTAAGATTTTTTGGCTCCGAGGACAGCGTTATATCAGGATAGAGGTGTATTTATTGAATCATCAATCCTACTTCCTTTAAAGTACATTTATGGTCAGAAAAGTAGCATTCTTCTTATGCAACAGATCTGTACTATGTAGATTTTAGTAACCATTGTAAGCTGGAACTACTTTTTACTCCTGGTAGCTACATTCACTCTGTAGTGCCAGGAGAAGGCAGTTGGATTCTGTTCTGATTTCTGCAGCATCGGCAGAATTGACTAAATTCTGGCTGAGAATCTTCTTTTGATAATGCTAAAGCCAGAAAAAACACAACTTTACTTCAAAATCCTAGTTTGAATGTCCAGGTTGGTAGTTAGGGAGGGGAAAAAACATTGTTTTACTTGTAAATGGAACACAGTTTCTCTGGTAGCTATTGAGACAGTAAACAGGGAATCCCATGATGATGGCTTTTAGAGTTACCAACAGAAGATCTGTACTTGAATTCACATTCTGTAAATTAAGGCTTTTAAAGGGACAACATACCCAAACAGGCCCGCTTCATCTCTGCTGAGGGATTTGTGGTGGATGGAATGTCATCAACAGATAACGTGAGAGTTGGCTGCTAGCTTAGTATTTTAATTTATCTGGCAAGTCTGAATGTTGTGGGACTAAACAGAAAAGGAATTACTTTAATTTGCATATTTTTTATGTTCCAGGTTATAAGAGAGGTTCAGTACTTACCAACCTCACAGACATGTTTTAAAGGCCAAAAAGAATAGTTTGTGTTTTTCTGATGAAAGACACAATAGAATTGAAAGGGGACCTGCAAATGTACAAATGTTTTAAAGAAAACTCTTGCATGTCCCAGTTTTAGCATTGAAATGCTTGTTAAAGATGGAATTGAGCAGGGTGGATTTGATTTAAATCATGATTTAAATCACTAGTCAGGAAGACTCAATTTAATCATGGATTTCTACATAAAAGTGTATTCTTGTTGGTTGTTATAACCTTCATACACATTCTTCACAACTCAGAGATAGATGTAGGTTTCATTAAGGTACACACTATACATTTTTTAAGTGATTTATTTTGAAAACTTTTCAGATTAGTTTTACAGCTATATCAGAAAATGAATGATTGTTTGGATATTTCATTTACCAAAGGTAATTGAAGCAGATATTTCTGAAGTCATTTGGGAGGTGAACTATCTCCAAATCAACAGGTTAATCATTAATATTTGGAGGATTTTCTTGCCATGCTGTATTAGGAGGAGAACATCACCAGACAGACATTTAAATTGTTTTATTTAACTAAAACAACAACGTTATGTGTTCTGGATTTTTTTCTTCAACAACAAACATTTAATAAATATTTTAACAAAACAAGCATATGAATTTTTGAATTTAGTTAAACATTCAAGTTTTTTAAAATAAGATTAGTTTTTGTTAAAATTGTTTTTAACTAAAATAGTTAAATGAAATATTCAAAAAAAAATTAAATTGACTGTGTCAGCCAGGTCAAGATGAGAAACTTAAAATATTAGCTTCTGCAGCTAACTCAGTCATCTTCACCTTCGTTTTCCTGTTTGTTCATAATCTGGAAAAGAAAAACAAGCTTTCCTGCTTTTTTCATGTCCCAAATGATTTCTCAATTTGAAATGATTCATCCAAAGGAAGACAATATTCTTTCTACACTGGCAGAAGAAGTTACTAGTGTTAAAAGTGAGATTATCACTTCAACAGTCTCTGAATCAAAGTGCTTAAGTGACTTCCACCAGTTCACTGGTGTGACTTTCTTTAAAACATCAGCAGCAAACATATATTTCTTGAATGGTTCACCCTTAGCTCTGAAGTTTATTATAGTTGGCATTATGGAGAGATGATTGCTGGATGTCCATGTCATAGCCAGCTATTCTTCTTCAGTAGTTAAGGTTTGACCCTGGTACTGAGAATTGAGAATATTTGCAAGAAAATGAGCTGGAGATAGTGCTTGTCCCATTTGTATTTTAATGCTTGTAATTTAACTCTGTCATTGCATATTTCTCTCTTTAAGATCTCACTCAGTTCCTTCCAAATTTCAACAGCGTCAGCAATAAAACAGCTATTTCCCTGCATTTTGTTCAAGGCTACAGAAATAGGCTTCAGGGTATTCAGCATGTGTTCAACATTTCTCTTAAGCCCAATGTTGAGAACTTTGGCTGTGACAGTGCCATCTATTTTTTCACAATTTTGTTCACAAACTGTCATCAGATTAGGCCAGTTCTTGATATAGTGCTCAAAACAGTCCACTACTGAGTTCCATCGCACGTCTTGTGGTAGAGTTAGCTTGGTTCTTCCCACTTTTTTCAGAACAGCTACTGCAAAGTGGTTGTTACAGAAGTATTTTGCAATTTCAACAACATTAGCCTTTATTTCTGGAACACTGAAGTCTTTGGCTAGGTGGTGCATCAAATGAGCACTGTAACCGTATGATATTAGCTTGGGACTCTCTTCTAAATAATTTCTTCTCATCTTGGATACATTGGCAGCATTGTCTGTGACCAAGCTGTGTACTAGACATTTGATTTTTTTAATAGCTTTTACTGCTACTTCTTGTAAGTATTCTGCTGGGTGTGCATTTCCTGATGTATCAATTGTTTCTGTAAGGAAGACATTCCCTTCTTCTCTTGTCACAGAGGCACATACAGCAGGATCATTGTGGACATTGCTCCACCCATCATGACTCAGGTTAGCAATTTTACCCTCTAGACCTTTTGCACACTGCTCAGTTTCTCTTTCATACACTTTATCCAGCAATTTGCCTGCAACATCTGCTCTGTTATGAGTCTATGAAACTCCTGGAACCCCGTAAGATTGGGTCCCTAATCCATGAACTATTAGAACTCATTTACAAAACTTTTCTTAAACATTACATGAATATATTGTCTCATTCTATAGAATTAGAATTTATAATCTCTATTCCATGATGAGATATCTTTGAGCTATAACATATCTTATTTAAAACTATCTTTAGATAGGTTTTTTCCTCAAAAAGCATTTTACCAAAAAACAAACAAAACAAACCATTTAAAAAATGTTTTTTTAAATCATTGATTTTTATCCACGCTGTAATTGAGTCTGTCAGTTCATTTGTAAAATCCTGTTTTACGATTCTGCCTCATTTTAGAATGAAACCTGCACACAGATTCTCTCTTTGATAGCTTCTTAAGAAAATATAGTTTTAGGTGATTCAAACATGAAATTTTGCAGGCTGATTTTTCATAAAGTTGGTCCAGTGACATGTATGGCTAAATTTTTTTTGTTGATTTTTTTTTTCTAAGTGAGTGCTAGGTTCAATGACTAGTGTGGGGGTTTTTGTACATTGTTTTAATTTTAGAGTTATGAAGTTCTGTCCTTAGTTGCTAGAATCACTTTCTTCTTCTGAGTTGCTGTTTGTTAGCAGGGGGATATAGTCAGCACCAGGAGGCAGAAGATGCTTCATGCATATAACACAGTAAATGGCTACTGCTTTTAAGATGGGTAGCCTCATAGAAGGGAGGAGGGAAGCCCTTGTCCCAGAAGAATCCTACAGCTGGGTAGGAGGAAGTTAGAGTTGTATGCAACCAGAGTAGCAGCTTTCCTGAGAGGTGGCTGACTGCAGGAGAAATAAGAAGAGTGTTTCTAGGTGCTCAGGGCTGGGCAACTGGCAGTAAGGTCAATGCTAAATGTTCACTGTCCTTCCTGTTTGAGCCACCAGCATTGAACTCCCCTCCTGGTAGCTTTCTTTGATCTGCCTGCAGCAGAGGATATAGAGGGGTTTAGAAGGCCTTTGTGTCTCCCTTACCCAGGCATTCACAGTGAAGGATTCATCACCTTTTATTTATTTATTTCCCCCCCCCTTGATAAGAGATTAGAAGTCAAATGTTAACAATTACACTCATTACAGCATTTGAATTTATTAGCGTGCCACTGTAGGCAAGAGAGACTATAGTGTGAAATACAAATTTAAAAATGATAGGTTGTGATAAAACTTTTGATAATGTCATTGTCCTCTTAAGTGTGGTGTCTTCAAGGTAAGCCTAGCAGAGGTACTCACCCTGCCTCCAGTGAGCAGAAGCCGTGACTAGGAGCCCAGAAACCTTCTGATGGGCGAAATCTTGGGATCATCATGTTGTCTAATTTCTCTTTCATGGTGTGTGTGTGTGTGTATATATATATGAGATATCTGAAGAAGAGTCACACAACAGAAACCCTAGGAAGTGGCCATATAGCTTGAACTTTACAGTGGAGATCACATGAGATGACTGTGCAGCATAAACTCTCCCTTCATGTTAGTTAAGTTCAAACGCTGTCAGGGGCGTAGCGTTGTGGTGACATGGGGTTATGTTTCCTTCACAAATTCATGCTTACAGTTATTGTTTCTTAGAATGGTGTGTGAGCCAATAAAAATAACAGGAGGTACATAATTGATGTGGCTTTTTATGTTTTAGCTAAACTGTAGAGCCTTAGGAGGTTGTGCCCCTTTAACACGTTGGCACTCAACTGTTATTTTTGTCAAGACCAGCTCTTCTTGCACATTGTCTAATTCAGGGTTCAATGTTAAACAAAAAAACAGAACCCACCAACTTAGTGTTTTATGTCAATCACATACACTGATTTGACTTCTTTTATTGCTGACATTTTATAAACAGAGAAGAGAGATGAAGTGGTATATTACGATACTTATGAAAGTATGGAAGCCATGCTTGAAAAAGAAGATATGGCGACATCTGTACACTTACAAAGAGAGGAGCTGCAGAAGTTGCAACAGAAAATCCGCCAGCTGGAAGCAAGGCGTGGACGCATTTCAGCCAAGAAAGCTTACCTCAGAAATAAAAAGGTAATATTAAATTGTACAATTCTTCTCTAACAGAGACTTCCCCTTTTTAGTAAAACTACAGAGGCATCCAATCTTGGATGGGAGTCCACACAGGGAGACTCAACACCCAATAAACTGGGTCTTTTCAGGAACAGTAGCTGCACGTAAGTGTTCTGGTATAAGGGATATAAGATACCAAGTTTTTGATGCTCCTTAAAATTATGGAGGTATCCATTTTAGTTCCACAGTGAAGGCTGAAGAGTTTTGCAACAGTTCAGCCTCGTTCTGTACCCCACAATTACAACACTTTGAGCACATAATTCATTTTAGATAATTTATAAATCAGTCTGTTAAAAATGGGTCCTTAATACTTTTTTTGGTCTCTAGTAATCTTAATAATAATGGAAAAACAAACTCTTCAGACTTCCAGTATAATCAAAATGTCCTGAAACCTTGTTTTTGAGGAAGTTTTTGTTAGAGTTAAAGATATTTGTTTATTTTGGTGGCTGGTTCTGTTCTTCACAACTGAAAGTTTCTCCTTTAGTAGAGGCTAATGTTCTTCTACAGAGAATTCCACCAAGAATTGTTCTCTTTCAAAATAGCTGTTATTCCCAATTCGGTGGAACATAGTCTGCCCACAGTTAAGATGCCCGTCTCAAAATGGCTTCCATCTCTGATTGTTCCCAGTGGGATGGAGACCACAAGCTGCCCTTAGCAAAGATGGTCACTGTCTTCATTCACCTGCTGCTCAGTCATCTTCTCTGCTTTGATAGGGGCCACTATCTTTTCTTTGGGCAGCTTGGTTTCAGTCCCCTTAGAAGTGTGGAAATTCACAATTTAGAGCACTGAAATAACTTTAACTCTGCCCTGTAGTGACACCATGCAATGTTACAATTAGGGCATTTCAGGGTTTCGGTTCCCAGATTAGATTAAATTGACTTTTAAAGAAAAATTAGGTTTTTTTCCCCGATTTAAAAAAAAAAAAAAAAAAAAAAAAAAGTACAAAAGACTTGAGTAGAGAAGCAACAGTTTTTCATGGAACTTTAATTTGTAATCAGTATGTGAAGAGATTTAAGTTACGGTATGGATTATCTCTTTAATATTAATGATCTGTCTTGTGATTCGTACGCAGAATTGTTGCAAATATGGATTACATTTTCAAGTCATATGTTAAATTTTGGTAAACGCACATTCATTCATTTCTCTGAATGACTTGTTTGTAGTTCCCGTAAAGCCCATGCAATTATATGAACATGCATTATTTATGAGTGAATATATTATTGAAAGTAAAACATCATATAAAACATCACAGTACTAGAGATAGTCTTGATTTTTTTCATCCATTGCTGTGTACTAAATTTGAAAACCAGCTGAAGAGTTAATACAGTCACCAAGCAGTTATCTTTATACTTTATACCAGCTAACTTCTTCTTCTTCTTTTTTTTTTCTTTTTCTTTTTTCGTACTGTCTGCTTTTCAGTCACCACTATCTTACCTGGAGCGGCTCCTGGGTAGCAGCGGCACGCACCGGGGCCAGGGCAGGTCCCACTCTGCTCCCGGAAGTGGCCGGCACTGCGGCCCCTGGGGAAGAGGGAGCAGAGGGCTCCGCGCACTGCCCTCACTTGTAGGTACCTCCCCCGAAGCGCCCAGTGGCCGTGGTTCCCTGTTCCCTGCCAATGGGAGTTGCAGGGGATGGTGCCTACAGGCAAGGGCAGCAGACGCAGCCCTCCGCCCCCTTTCCCCCAGGGGCCGCAGGGACGTGGTGCCGGTCGGTTCTGGGAACTGGGGCCTGCGGCACCATGGAGGTTGCAATTCCGTGGGCCGGATCCAAAGCCCTGACGGGCCGGATCCAGCCTGCAGGCCATAGTTTGCCCACCCCTGCCTTAGAGCCTATGCAGATGCTGCCCCTCCCTCCGAAACTACAGAAAACAAGCTGTATGTTAGATGGCATATGCCACAGGCTTCCCCTAAGAAAGGGAAGTCTTCCAAAAAGAGGAGTGTAGACTTTCACCTGAAGGAGACAGCTCTGAAAAGGTCCAGGTCCCAGGGAGATCTACTGTCTCTGAAACCTCAACCACAAAGGAGAGAGACATCTCCAATAGGGCCTTGGTACCCTCTACCAGCCAGGAGGGCAAGCATAGACACTCGGGGCTGGTGATCTTGAGTTCATCCAGCTGTCAGTACCTGTGTGTTCAGCCCAGCCATTGGTACCCATGCATGCAGCATTCTTGGCACCAAGCAAGCAGTGGTGCCACCCACCATTGGCTTTGGCTACTATGTCGGTACCGATGCCCTACTTGATAGCACAGGAATTAAGATATACTAAGGACCTCTCAATAACAACCAGAGTCCCCACTCCTCATGGGTACTAATCATCTCTTGGTACTGAGACCCTGATCTACAGACTACTGTCCTCCAGTACTGCAGGATTCTCCATCACTTTTGGTGGGTGCTCTCTCTTTGGATCAGATGGAGGAGAAGAAAACTTTCAGTTGGTCTCCTCTATTTCTGTTCAGGCCTCTCCAACATATCTCTTCAGCATCCCATTCTCTGAAAGACTTAAGGAAAATTGGGGTCATTATGAAGGTGGCCCCTCATGCCACTCCCACTTCCGTATGTCTTCTCATCCCCAATGTCCATACTTGGATCTCTGGGCTGCCTATCAACAATTTGCCAGACCACTGGTACTCTTCATAGGAAGGCCAGAGTTGTACAGCCCTCTCCTCCCCAGCCAGCTCTCCCATAGCAGATGTTTGAGGTTCAAGAAGCTAGGGTAGATAAGGAGGTCACCCCTCCAACACCTGATTATGCCTCTGCCACCATCCATGGCTGATGATTTTTGACAATTTCAAGCCCTCATAAAGGTCTTCATACCCTCATAAAGAAGGTAGCTGACAAATTCCTCTTGAAGAGGTCAGTGAGTCACAGCACAAACTGTTGGATATCTTGTAGTCAGTAACCCCTCCAGGGTGGTGTTACCCATCACTGAGGCACTTGTAGATCTGGCTAAGACTGGTGGCAGACACTAGCTGCTGTTCCACCCATGTGGAAATAGGCAGATAAGAAGTATTATGTTCCCCCTATGGTTTCTGACTTCTTGTTCTCCCATCCGCCACCTAACTCCCAGATGGTGGATGTGTTAAATAAGTGGAGCAGGGAGCACTTCTCTAGGTCTACCCCATATAATAAGGACCAGAAAAGGCAGGATCTCGTTGGGTGAAAGGCCTCTTTGTCAGCAACCGTGCATTTCAGGATCGCGAATTGTCAGGTGGTCATGGCCAAATATAATTTTACACATTATAACATATTCACAGTTTTTATTGAACTTCTGCCACAAGAACATAGGGAGCAATTCTAGTCCGTCATCTGAGTGCCACTTGGTGGCCATAACTGCCTGTCAAGCATGTTGGTGTGCTACAGACACTGCTGCCAGGTCCATCTCCACAGCTGTGGTTATGAGCAGGGCATCATGGCTCCATATAATGGGGTTTCTGAGGAAAGTACAGACCGCTGTGGGGGGGATCTTGCCTTCGGTTGTAAACTGTTCTTGGAAACCACGGGTGACTCCTTGTGCACGCTAAAGGACTCTAGGGCTGTTTTATGATCCCTGGGTATACATACACCTACAAATAAGAAAAAGTTTAGTAGATAACAAACTGCCCAGAGATCACATCCCATTTAGTGTTCAAGGTTCCATAGATCCACCATAACCCCCGCTAGAAAGAGACGTAGATTTCAGAGAAAGAGGGCCGCACGATCATCCTCAACGATGACCCAGCCATCTTGAAGCAACAGTTTTAATGGATTAGTTGATGGTTCAAATCCTCCTGCACATCTGGATTTACAGCTGAGCCCATGAGCCCACCTTCCACCTTTTGGAGATCACCTTGCCTATTTCCAACATGCTTGGCGGTGGATCACTACAGATGACCCACTACAGAGAAGTGGGTCATAGAGGTCATAACATTGAGTTATACCATCCATTTTACATCACTCTCTTCACTTCATCCCCCCTTCCCTGTCATTCAGGGACCCCTCTCTGAGTTTTTATTGAGACAAGAAGTGAACTCTCTCCTTCGATTAGGAGCAACATAGCTGGTTCCTCTGCCTCACAAGGGCAACAATGTTCCCTTTAATTTTTCCCATCCTTGCGTGGAATGAATTTTATGTGCATCAAATTATTGAGGTAATGTGCGGATGTGCGCCACCAGTAGAAACAAAAAACATAGATATAATATACATTTTAAAAAAGTAACCATACAGATAATTCTTCAGCCAGGATGGGTTAGGCATTTTAGAACTCACTACTCAAAGAATTAAATTTAATCGTAAGAGAGAAATAAAAATTATGAAATGCATAGACCAGTCAAAAAACTCAAACAATAGCACGTTGAAAGAATAAAATTACAGAGAATATATGTGTATTGCAGGAAGTGTCAAGAAATAACAATAATAATACAAGTATATGTTGGGAGGTGAATGTGAAAGACTGAGACGTACACTGTGTGTGAGACAGAGACGCGTTGCCGCTTTAAGTATGTTGCCCTTTTAAGTAGATCGGCACTCAAAGCAGCCGCAGCAGCAGCCACCAACAAGCTCCCGCTGTCCCACTCCTGAGCCCTGTCACGTTCCCCCCGCTCTGTGGAGAGGGGTTGTGGGGGGAGGGGAACACCCTAACAGCACACCTCATCTCTCCCCTCCCTCCCCCCGCCCCGCTCTGCATAGCAAGCAGGAGGCTCCTGGGAGCAGCTCCAAGTCAGAAGGCAGGAGCAGCATGGCAGAGGGGGAGGGGCACTTGAAGTGCATTGCACTTGATAGCCTGCTGGGCAGCTGCAGCAGCTTAGAGGAAACTTAGAACGGTAAGGGATTTTACTTGAAGTATTTCCTTGTGCCAAAGGAGGACGGAGAGTGGAGACCAATCTTAGATACAAGCCTTCTAAAACAAGTTCAGAAAGTCTCAAAAGTTCAGGATGTTGACTCTGGCAGCTGAAATTCACTCACTGGAGAAAGGGGATTGGTTTTCGGCTCTCGACCTACAAGATGTCTATTTCCATATAATGCTATACCCATCACACAGGAAATACCTACACTTCACTGTAGGTCAGGATCATTTCTAATCTCGAGCGCTTCCCTTTGGTCTTTCCTCGGCCCCAGTGTGTTGTCAAAAGTCCTGGCAGTAGCAGCTGTTTATATCCGACAAGAAGTGTCCTGTACTTCGATGACTGGCTACTCAAGGGCTGCTCCTATGAAGTGGTGCTATCTTCCACCCAGAAGGTCCTTGCCTGTTCCAGGAGTTGAGTCTGCAGCTGAATGTAAAAAAGTCCCCATTAACCCCTGTATGGAAGATACAGCTTGTAGGGACATATTTGGATTTGTTGACAGCCAGAGCTTACCATCTCTTAGATTCATAATCTTGTCAGGTCTGGTACAGGCAATTCATGGGAGCCCTCAAACCACAATAAAAAACTGTCTTCAGTTCCTGGGACACATAGCAGCTTGCATCTTTGTGACCAATCATGCAAGGCTACATCTTTGCTGCTTCTGGGGTTGGCTCAGAATGACCTATTCTTCAGTCAGACACATCTTGGACAGAAAGGTGACAGTTCGTCTACAAGTGAGGAACTCCTTAGACTGGTGAAAGGATCAACTCAACATCTGTGCAGGGCGTTCCTTTCTGTTGCCCAACCCCATAAATGACTTTAACAACAGATGCATCACTGTTGGGATGGGGAACCCACCTCAACACCTTCATGACTCAGGGCAAATGGACAACTCAAGAAATCAATCTTCACATCAGTCTGCTGGAGCTCAGGGCTGTCAGGAACACTTGCCTTCATTTCTTACCCCTCATCAGGGCAAATGAATCAGGGTCATGATGGACAATATATCCTGCATACTCTATATCAGCAAGCAGGGAGAGGCAAGATCCCCCTCCCTGTGTGCCAAAGGCATGAAACTCTGGAATTGGTGTGTAGCTCATCAGATCCAAATTTTAGCACTCTGCCTCCCCACGTATTCAGAATGCCACAGTTAATGTCCTCAGCAGACACTTTTCACAGGATTACGAATGGGACAATCAAGTTCTCCACAGTATATTCCTAAAATAGGGACTGCCAGAGATGGATGTCAATACCTCCTCCAGGAACAGGCAGTGTATTCTTTTCTGCTCAAGCAGGCATCTGGGCCATGACTCCTTGGGAGATGCTTTTTTTGGAAGAAGGGTGTGTTCAATGCATTTCCTCCAACACCACTGATACTAAGGGTGATGAACAAGGCCAGAGAGAGTTATCCTTATAGTGCCAACATGACCAAAACAAGCTTGGTATGCTTACCTGCTTCACCTATATGTCCAACCGTCATTCAAGTTCCCAACTGTTCCTCATCTCCTGTTACAGGTTGTGGGTCATGCTTCATCCCAACCTAGTGGTTCTCCACTTCAAGGCATGACTCCTCGATGGTTCACGGACCTAGAATCCTCCTGCTCTCTCAGTAAGTACAAGAGGTGTTACTGAGTAGTAGAAAGAGATCAGCCTGCACTACTTACCTGCAGAAATGGAAGAGATTCTTCCACTGGTGGTGTCATTGCTGCCTCCTGCCTGCATCGGTGCCACTTTGTCATCTTGGATTATCCGTTGGATCTAAAGAAATCAAAGTTATGAGTTAGTTCAGTTAAGGTCCATTTGGCCGCAATATCAGCCTTTCATTCTCTGGTAGAAGGATTCTCCATATTTGCTCACCCAGAATAGTCCTAGGTTTACTAAGGGTTTGGGGACAGATTAGAAATGTCCACAGATTAGGAACCTACCTTGACCTGGGACCTCAACCTGGTACTCGGTTATCTTATGAGACTTCCATTCGAACACTAGTAACCTGTTCTCTGTTGCATTTATCTGTGAAGATGGCCTTCTTAGCAGCGATCACGTTGGCCCATAGGGTCAGAGAGATTGGAGCCATGAAGGCAGATTTCTCCCACCCCCTCTTTATGGTGTTCTTTAAGGGCACGTTCTCCTTACATCCACACCCTAAATTCTTACCTAAGATTCTATTGAAGTTCCATCTTAATCAACCCATTCATATACAAGTATTTTTCCTGAAGCCACATAGTTCACTACAGAAATCCTGTTTACATATCCTGGGTGTTAGCAGGGTATTATCCTTCTATTTGGATATGACCAAGTAATTTAGGAAGTCACGTAAGCTCTTCATTTCCTTTGTGGATAGCTTCATGGGGTTCTCAATCTCTACTCAGACTATCAAGATGGATACCTCGATGTATTATCACTTGTTATGATGCTGTGGGCATTCTCCCTTTCTCAGCCCCCTCAGGCAACATCTGTGGCATTACTGAAGAATGTACCAGTATCTAAAATATATAGGGCTGCTACGTGGGCTTCAATACGTATGTTTTTGAAACATTGTGCCCTGATTCATGTTGTCAGATCTGCTGCGGCACTTGGTTCTGCAGTACTATCTTCAGTTCTGGACTCTATTCTGAAGCCCCCTCCTCCATACTGCTCAGAAATCGCCTGAAGTGGAGCACCCATAAGGATGCTACTCAGACAAGAAAAAGAGGTTACTCACTTTGTGCAGTAACCATTGTTTTTTGAGATGTCACTATGGTTGCTCCACTACCCAGCCTCCTTGCCTTCTGCTTTGGATTATTCCTTAGGGGATGTTTGGGTGGGAAAGGAACTGAGGGTGCTTTGCCTGCATGCCCGTATATAGTCTCTGTATCTGGCATGAGGTGGTATTAGGCGGTATTAAGCACTTTTGTGGGCCTAGTAGACACTAAGTGAAAATCTCCAATCAAAGGCTCAAGAGGCACATGAGCAGCTGAAGTGGCGCACCCATAGGGACACAACCTCTTGAAGAACTGCAGTTACTGCACAAAGTGAGTAACCTCTTTTTTATTGTCTGAAACAAACAGCCATTGTACTAGGGAGTTGGATTTATAAGAGAAAAATCAAGAGGGGAGGCCATTAGAAAAAGAGAGGCTGAAAGTGTGAAAATGACCTTCTGGGAGCACATCCTGGAACAAGTGAACAGCTGTAAAGATCCTGAAATATTCCTTGCTCGGGGAACTTATTCCTTATCATAGGCAGGCTGAGAAAACAGTTGGCCAATGAAGCTGTCTTAGGCACCAGGAGTAATGATTTCCTATCCCCCGTCATAGTCCTGCTTGGATTTCCACACAATCAGTGAAAAACCACTAGTGCAAGAGGAAACTATACATTTCCACTAAGATAGTGCCTCACCTCCCCAATGAGTCCTGATAAAGTAAGTGAGATTTTTGTAGAGTAAGGTGCTATTCAGTAAGAATATCACAAGCTGGATCAAAGATTTCAAACTCTCCTGGGAAGTAACAATATCATTGTTTGCACAACTCTTAACAGATGGCCCTCAATCCTGATAGATTAGATTATATATATCTAAAAAAAAATACTGTTTAAAAGAACATTAAAGTTGCAAAGTCAAGAACTCAGAAGTTTGGAAATGCCAGAATTAAGGATGCTTTTGCAACCTTAATTTGGACCCCTTATGTGTATGTATTATAATACTGTCTTTAACTACAAGATCACATAATTTTTTCACAGGACCTCTGCCTCATTCAGTGCATGGGATGGACGGTTCTCACTGAATGGATAGTTAGTCAATATTACTTTTTATCCTTATGGCTTCAAGCATTATTTACTGCACACTATTCAAATCTTGCATTGAATGCCAAATTTGTAATTTCTCATGGACTTTTTTCTCACTCATCACTTTAGTATTTGGAGTGCTTCATGAACATTGGTCATTTTTTCTTCACACACCTGTGAGGGCATATGATTTTAAATCTGGGGAATTGAGGCGCAGAGAATAAGGACAAAATTGACCGTTGTCCACTAATTTTGAGTGCTCAGTTTGAGACTCTAGAACTTGATTTTTTTGAGAGTATTTGGCATCAGATAGCATTTTATATGCTTGAAGCAGAGTGCCCATTGACCTCAGTTGCAGTTCAGCGCTTAACACTTCTGCAAATCAAGCCTCTCTCCCTCTTCTTCCTCAGGATATTTCCTTCTCCTCCATACTGCCTGGATTCCAGCAAGAGGAATGTTTGAGATCAAAGAAGACACGGCCGCCGTACTCTGTTCTAGTGTCCAGGGAACCCTGGCAGTTGGGAGGAACAATTACAGGAAAGGCCTTGCTCAGTATGGCTGACACAGTGCTCTATGGGGGAGGAGCATGCTTAGTGGAGGTGAAATATTTAAAAAGTTTTGTAAATGCCCCTTAACCTCTACTGATCACCTACAAAAGGTGATGTTCAGAGGCTTATAACTTGGCCAAATTTTGGGTGGATTTTCATGGTGACAGGCAAAGATCTCTCTGTTCCCAGAGTGATCTCCCCTCCCTCCACTCCCGCCATTGCCTCCACTCTCCCCTCCCCCCGCCCCCCCTCCCCCGTCAAATATAAAGTCCCAGCTCCAATGTGTGAGTGCTTTAGATCGAGGCCTCCCAAGAAATTTTTGGTGATCTTGGAGTGCGGCCACCAATTCTTGCTGGTGACCACACCTCTGACAGTTTTTCCTAAAATAATTAACTTTAAGAAAAATAAATAAATATGCACACATACATGTCCAAATTAATTTATTAATGTAGGTTTTTATTGCAGGCTCAATAATAAAAATAATGTTCAGTTGTGATCATCTACTCTGACCTCCTGTATAACACAGGCAATAAAACTTCTGCAGAATAATTTATTTTGAGCTAAAGCAGGTCTTTAAGAAAAATCCAATCTTGATTTAAAAATTTCCAGTGATGTAGAATTTACCACAACTCTTGGTAAATTGGTTAATTATACTCACTGTTAAAATTTGGCAAAGTTATAAGCAACTGAAAACTGGATCTTTTAATGGAAAGTGTTAGGCAAACTTAACTATAGGTAGTGTGGCCATCTCTGCCTATAACAGTGTTGCTATAGAGTACAAACCCATGCAAGAATTTTTTTTTAATGCATTGTATTTAAATATGAATGCAAAGTACAGTGGAAGTTAGAAAATCAACATGTGTTCATTTTTGCTAGTATTAATCAAGTAGTTTTATTAAGTGACAAAGGCTGAAAGGGTTGACCAGATTTTTGTTAGAAAAAGTGAAGATAACTTGTAAACTTGAGGTTTGTGGTTTTTTTTTTTTTTTGAGAAATAGAAGCACAATTTGATATCACTGTAGAAATTAGCCCAGTGATTTAAAGAGAGAGAACCTGTTACTATAGAAT